ATAATAAAATAAGTGAACCTGTTTTAAATCGTTCAGGATTTTTTACAGGAATTCTAGAAGTACTGGAGGAAGGTAAGTGTGGTTCTTATGCCTAGAAAGGGTTTAAAATCATTGCCTGGAAATTATAGACCTGTGTGCATAACTTCTGTGGCTGGGAAAGTATTTATAGGGCTATTAAGAGATAATATTCAGGAATTCATTGAGAAGAACATTATTGGCAAACATCAGCATGTTATTGAGCTGATTTTTGCTAATAATGTTCTTCTCAATTAATTCCTAATTATTATCCCTTAATAGCCCTGCAAATACTTTCCCAGTCACAGACATTAAGCTCACAAGTAGAACATTGACTTAAAGACAGAGAGTTGTCATTAATGGTACATTTTCAAACTGGACAAAAGTGATAAGTGGTGTCCCTCAGGGTTCTGTTCTGGGACTGCTTCTTTTCAACATACACTATATGGACAAAATATTGGGACACCTGGCCATTACACCAACAGGGACTTTTATGACATTGCATTCTGAATAAATAAACAATAATATGTAGCTGGCCCTCCCTTTGTAGCTTACACTCTTCTGAGAAGGCTTTCCACAAGGTTCTAGAGTGTTTATGTGGGAATTTTTGCCCATTCCTCCTACATAGCATTTGTGAGGTCAGGCACTGATGTTGGAGGGGGCAGGAGGGGGCAGCAAGAAGCAGGGTGGGGTAGGAAGGGTCAGCAAGGAGTAGTAAGGGTCAGCAAGGAGCATGAGGGGTCTGCAAGGAGCAAGAAGGGTCTGCAAGGAGCAGGAAGGGGCAGCAAGGAGAAAGAAGGGGCAGCAAGGAGCAGGAAGGATCAGAAAGAATCAGAAGGAGCACAAAGCTAAAGCAGGAGAAGGAACAGAAATGGTCTACATGGAACAGAAAGGGGCAGCAAGGGGCAGCAAAAAGCTGGAAGGGGCAGAAAGAAGCAGAAAGGGTCTGCAATGAGCAGAAAGGGGCAGGAAGGGACAGAAGGAGCAAAACGGTAAAGGAGCAGAAATGAGAAGGAAGGGAAATCAAGGAGCAGAAAGAGTCAACAATGATCAGGAAGGGGCAGAAGGAGCACAAAGGTAAAGTAGGAAAAGGAACAGAAGTGAGCAGCAAGGGTCTGCAAGGAGCAGCAAGGGTCTGCAAGAAGCAGGAGGGCGCAGCAAGAAGCAGAAAGTGGCAGCAAGGAGCAGAAAGTGGCAGCAAGGAGCTAGAAGGGTCAAGCATGGATGTCATTAAAATTATGCCCCCCAAAAAAATTCCTGCGGATGCCCATGGCATTGCAAGTCATATTTCAGTGTTTGCAGATGACAAAATATTCTGTAAAGTAATTAAATGTGAGGCTGTCACTCAAATGGCAGATTGGAATTTAATGTAGACAAATACAAAGTTATAGACTTCAATGTAAAGAATGTACTAGCAAATTTTATTAAAGACACGGAGGCTCCTATTATGCATTTCTCTTTCTTTATTACTCTCAGCAGCAAAGAAATAGAGATGAATAAGTAACTGAAATGAACAAAAAAAAACATAGTGTTCAAACAGCCAATCACATAACACAGGAAGTGACTGTAATATGCTTGAAGCACCCACAATCCCCCTCTTTCTTTGCTGCTCTCAGAACAGTTACGTACTATTGGTTTGTGCTCTGTGATATATTGTGTTCTTATATTGCTTTTATGTTGTGTATATTTGTTTCTTTGCCTTTTGGTGCCTTTTCTCCCTAGCCCTAGTGGCTTGACAGGGACCTTATGTTTAGTTTTACTTTTGTTTTCATTTGTTTTAATTTTATCTCTGGTGTGCCCCAGTTCTGTTGCCGCCTGTGCGTGGCATTTACAACGCTTGCTTCCCTCCCCTCCCTCCCCCCGCTGGTCGCGGTGATCGCGGGGAGTGGTTGCTTCACCCGACCTGCTCGAGTACACGCCGGGGCCCCCCCCGCCTAGCTCGGCGGCTCCCAAATGTGTTAGGGTCGGGCCGCGCGGCTGCCGCGTTTTCGCCCATCCCCCTCCCCGGCTCTCTGCATCTCAGTGCGGCGCCCATCTTTGTTCCCCTCGTATTTGATTCGGAACGCGGAGCAGACTCCCTGCTCTGCTTTCCACTCCCCCTGGGCACATCACTCATTTCACTTTTTTTTTCATGCCATATTCTTATATATATATATTTTTTTTGTGTGTTTTTTCACCAGTTTTTTCCTTATACAGTTTCTGGTCCATAAATAAACTTTATTGTTTTCTGTCTATTTGGGTTAATAAACCCTGACATTTTCTCCTACTGATTACTTATTTTTTCTCCATTAGTTTTTCCCTTTTCTATTGCAGACTGACCGTTTTTCTCTGCCCTTAATTTGTGCATCATCTGCATTATGCAGGATAAATGTGATGGGCCTGAGGGCCACAGTGAAGAGCCTCCTATGGGGGTCCCTGAGGAACACGCTGTTTCTGAGGAGTTCCAAGCCCTGTTGGACTACACCATGGCATCCTCTTTACAGAGAGCATTCGCCTCCGCTATGGGAGCCATGTCCTCCTCTTTTTCGCAAACGCTGGCTCAGTCCATATTGCTACCCCAGCTGGCTACCCCTACCCTACAGGGAGCGGGTCCTGCCCCTACCCCGCCTCACCTATCGCCTGTAAGGCCGTGGCAAAGAGCAAACACCTCTCCTCCCACTCCATGACGCAGGTTGTACCTGCCTTGACAGAGTCGCCTTTGGCAGTCACAGATGGTGCGCTAACACCGCGCAAAAGAGCCCCTGGTCGGGCAAAAACGGCCAGATTATGGAAACGGGCTAGATCCCATGAAGAAGGGTCGGAGAGCGACCGGAGTGAGGGGGATGAGTCTGAGGAGATGGACTATGCCTCTTATGACGAGGCCGGCTCGGAGGAGGGAGCTCCCCCTGCCATAGCACCCCGTACTGGGGGTGCTGCCCCTGCCCCAGGCGTTACTGCTCAGGGAATGGGCGGTGGCCCGGTGCTTCTGGATCCCCAGGGTAACCAGTCCTGGTTACCCTGGGACTGGTTGATGCAGCGTTCCAGGGACCTGTGTCATCCTTGCTCGGCTGAGTGAGAGCCACCCGAACACATTGCCCGTTATATCGCGCACAGGATGCGCACACCATTGTCTAAAGAAGGGCGTAGTAAATTGCGGGCAGAATGCCCTCGCCCTTCAGTGCCAGGATCGGCGTGCAAGACGCCCGAGGTCGATCCGCAGATCGCACAGTTTTTAAATAAGTCAGATTGGAAACCGAAGAAAGGACTAGATTTTTCCCTAAAGAGTTGCCAAGATAAAATCATGGACACATCCGGCCCATTATCTAAGGCCTACGAGCTGTTAGAGTCCGCAAAATCGGACGAGGCTGAACTCGACCTGGACGTAGCAATTGGCTGGATACAGCGGGCCATCTGTTTAATCGGCAACGCCAATATGGCAGTTTCAGCTGAGCGCAGGAAAGCTATCCTGCTTAAGATAGACCCGAAGTTGGCTACCATGGCCATATCAGAACCGGGACCCTCTGCTGAGGGTATGTTTGGCGATAACTTCATCAAGGACCTGGGTTCTTATGTGAAGACGTTCACCACCATCGATAAGGCCCGGGCTAATATGAAGAGGTTTTTGGAGGGGCTGGGCACAACAGGAGCCGTCCACCCGGCCGTGGTTTCAGAGGCTCGTTTCGGGCACAAAGGGGCTCCTTCTTCCCTTCTAGAACCTTCCAAGAGCCAAGACCGGCTCCATTCTTCCCATCCAGGGGGAGGCCATGGAATCCCCGCTATCCGAGAGGGGCCACGTCAGGCAGACGCCCTTATAGTGAGTACCCCTGTTTCTCCTTATGTTCAGGAGCGGGTGGCGGGCAGATTGGCAAAGTTTTACAGGGCGTGGGCCACATTAACGACAGATGCATGGGTCCTCCACACAATAAGGGGTTATCACATAGACTTTGTGTCCATGCCTGTTCAGATTTCTGTCCCCAGGGAACTATCTCTCGCTCGAGACCAGGAAGAATTGATCTCCTTGGAGATCATAGAACTTTACACAAAAGGGGCGATTCAAGAGGTTCCGTTCACTCAACCAGGGTTTACGAGCAACCTCTTTTTGGTACCGAAGAAGGGAGGAGGTGTGCGTCCCATCATCAACCTCCATCCTCTCAACGCCTTCCTCCAGTATCAGCACTTCCAAATGGAGGGCACACACTGCCTTCGAGACCTCCTACAGGAAGCCGACTGGTTGGCCAAACTGGACCTGAAGGATGCCTATTTCACGGTCCCTATAACCGAGGGACACAGGGATATCCTCCAGTTCACCTGGAAGGGAAGACGATGGAAGTTTACATGCCTGCCATTCGGGCTCTCCTCGGCTCCCTGGTGTTTCACCAAGGTAATGAAACCGGTGGTGTCCTTCCTCCGAAGCCGTGGAGTACGGCTGATTATATATTTGGACGACATCCTACTGATGGCTCAGTCACGAGAGCAATTGAAGCTCCATGTTTCATGGACAACATCCCTGCTCCAGAACCTAGGTTTCCTCATCAATTGGGAGAAGTCGATGTTGGTTCCCACTCATTCTCTGGAGTTCCTGGGGTTTACCGTGGACTCCATTCAACAGTTCTTGTTTCTTCCGGAGGCCAAAATGAAGGCCATCAAGAAGGAACTCAGGCGTACACTGCGGGCAGACGATATCTCTCTCCGTCACCTGGCAAGAGTGATCGGTCTGGTGGCCGCTTCGATACAGGCAATATTTCCAGGTCCACTCCACTATCGGTCCCTTCAACGTCTGAAGGGCTCTCATCTGCATGCAGGCCAGTCCTACGAGATGAGAGTGAAACTGGACGAGGAGTCCAAGGACGAACTGACCTGGTGGTTAGCCCACATGGACGCCTGGAGCTATTTTCGGCTCCGTTCCAGACGTGGTAATAGAATCGGATGCCAGCTTACACGGCTGGGGTGCGCATTGTGGTGCCGCATCTACCAGAGGCAGATGGTCAGACCAAGAGCAAACGCTCCATATCAACTGCCTAGAACTATTGGCAGGGGCGTTCGCCATTCGCAGCCTTACACCAGAAAGTGCGAATTGTTGCGTGATGCTCAGGATGGATAATGTCTCGGCAGTGCATTACATCAACCCCCTAGGGGGAATGAAATCATGCATGTTAGCCCTCCTGGCGAAAGATTTCTGGTGGTTCTGCCTTCACAACAATATTTCTGTGCAAGCAGAACATATTCCGGGCCTGGACAACCTGACGGCCGATTGGAATTCGCGTTATTTAAAAGACTCTGGAGATTGGCACTTGCACGCTGCCGCGTTCCAGGGACTGAATCAGCTATGGGGCCCATTCGAAATGGACCTCTTCGCTTCCCGTCTCAACGCACAGGTGTCCAAGTTCTTCAGTTGGAGGCCGGATCCGGCAGCAATGGCGATGGACGCATTCCTTCAAGAGTGGCCACAGACTCGGATTTACTCTTTTCCCCCGTTCAATCTCATAGCTCGCACGTTATCGAAAATGACTTGACACGGCTGTTCGATGGTACTGATTGCCCCCCTGTGGCAGTCACGGCCTTGGTTCCCTCGGCTATTGGAGTTGACCACAGATTATCCACGACTGATACCAACTTTCCCAAATCACCTGAGGGATCCGGATGGCAACTCACACGAGCTAGTGCTTCGGGGCCTCTCCAGCTGATGGCATGGCCCCTTTCCGGGGACCTGGATCTATCACGGGAGTTCCGCAGATGACTCTCGACCTCCTCAACAATGCGTGGGCACCGGGTACTCGAGTGGCATACCGATCCGCCTGGCGCATCTGGTCTAGTTGGTGCATGGGACGGACAGTGGATCCCGTATCTGCCCCTCTGCATATGATCATGGAATTCCTTACCGTTTTGTTTGAATCTGGGAAGGCTTATCGCACCATTAATTTATGTCGTTCTGCTATCTCGGCTGGCCATCAGGGTTTAGACGGTTCACCGGTGGGACGTCACCCCTTCATATGCCGATTACTCAAAGGGATTCGTCTCACTAGACCACCCTGTGCGAGGTTCACTGCCTTCTGGGATGTGAATGTGGTCCTTCGGTTTTTATCATCTTGGTACCCGAATCGAGATCTGACACTGAAGCAGCTGTCAGCTAAGGTGGTCATGCTGTTATGTTTGATCTCCTGTAAACGGGTTTCGGACGTTAGAGCATTGGACTGGAATGCCATTACGTTCACTCTGGAGGGCATCTCCTTTAATATATCCAGGAGGACGAAGTCGGCTTCCAAGGTGTTCGTATATCCCAGATTTCCGGGTAATCCAGCGCTATGCCCGGTGGAATGTTTGAAAGCCTTTCTGGAAGCTACTCGAAATTTGCACTCTCCAGAATTATGTCCATTATTCATTTCGTTTCGCACCCCACACCTGCCAGTATCTACCCCTACGTTGGCAAGGTGGGTGCGGGAGTTATTGGCGCTAGTCATGATTGACACATCCAGATTCACCCCTCATTCGGTCCGTGGAGCTATGACCTCCAAGGCCTCGGCTATGGGCTGTCGCTTGGAAGATATCCTACGTGCGGTAGACTGGTCGTGGGAATCGACTTTTCGTGACTTCTACTTTAAGCCGATCGAACACTTTGCTTCTCAGGTGATTTCTAAGCTTTAAACTAGCATAATAGGAGCCTCCGTGTCTTTAATAAAATTCCCAGATTTTACTATTAACATGACGTAAAGTCATGATTTTATTAAAGACACGGAGGCGAGTATTATTCTCACCCACCCACCCGGTTGGGTTTGGGAAGTGAACTGCTATGGTGGAAGAATCTGGTAAGTTTTTCCTCTATTCTGAGTTTGGTTCCACTGTTTTTGTTTTTCCGACTTTTCTCTTATATAGTGGTGAATTGCGTTTATGCTTCCTCCTGATATCCTAGATGTTTTAGGGTAAAATATGTTTTTTTCATTTAACAGTGTATTGGACTGTTTATGTACACATACAATTTGGAGCCCAGTGATTACCATACTTTTTCTCTTCTGTGTCTCCCCTTTTAGCCTGAATTATCGCGTTTGTCCATATTGAAGACGCTGTTAGCCGAATTTAGTTGTTCTACGTGCTGGTCTTCGTTATCCGCAAGAAAGAGGGGGATTGTGGGTGCTTCAAGCATATTATTCCTGTGTTATGTGATTGGCTGTTTGAACACTATGTTTTTTTTGTTCATTTCAGTTACTTATTCATCTCTATTTCTTTGCTGCTGAGAGTAATAAAGAAAGAGATATGCATAATACTCGCCTCCGTGTCTTTAATAAAATCATGACTTTACGTCATGTTAATAATAAAATCTGGGAATTATACCATAAATAATAGTGAATCACGAATAACACACAAGGAGGATTTGGCAATTGTTATAGACAAACTAGGCAACAATGTGCAATATCAATCAGCAGTTGCTAAGGTCAGTAAGGTATTGTCATGTATAAATAGGTATAAATAATGGAAAATAGATATTTCTGTTCTTTTATAAATGAATGGTAAGACCAACCCTTGAATATGCTGTGCAATTTTAGGCACCTGTTCTAATTGAGGATATTATGGCACTAGAAAAACTGCAGAGGCAGGCTACACAATAACTAAAAAGAATAAAACATTTTAACAAATATTAATCTGTTAAGTTTAGAATAACAGCGCCTTAGAAGGGGTATGATAGTAATATACAAATATATTTGAGGTCAGTACAGATCATTGTCTGGAAATATGTTCATAGACAGGGTTATACAAAGGACATAAGGTCATACATTTAGACTTGAAGAAAGAAGATTTAGTCCAGTGGTTCCAAGACTGGGCGCCGCGACGTGCAGGGGGGGCCGCAAAATATTTCCATGATGCTATGATTATAGCACCGGGGAAACATTACTGCTCAACAGGGATCCGGTCAAGTGCCGCGGTCCTTTAAAACCGCAACCAGGCCCCTGTAATGTCGGCTGGCTGGGAGGAAATGACTTCCTCTTAGCGTCATGCAGAGAGACGGCACAGGAGGGAGAGGAGGCAGCCGCAGCGTGATTGGAAAGGAGCACAAAGAGCTCCAGACCCCTTCACTCCCCCCAGCAGGACGAGGACTCCAAACCACACTCCTGGACACACAAGGTAAGCTAACAGGAGGGTGGCTGGAGATATTGAAAAATCACTTGTGTGTTAGTGTTTGTATGAGTCTGAGTATGTGTGAATCATGATTCTGAGCAGGTCAGAGAGGAGATTTATGCCAGGGTTGACTTCAGGTACTTTATTTGTGATCTTAGATATAGTATGAACAGGATATCCTATAATAGAAAATGTATAGGAAAGAGAGAGAGAGAAAACAGAACCGACTAATTCAGATTACAGGTAAGAATAACTAGGCTGTGAAATAAAAGGGTTTAGACAATAAGCCCAAAGTTGAAAATAGGTAAACCTATAAAAGAAGTTATAGGTAGGAGTATGAAGATAAACCTATAAGAGAAATTATAGGTACTTATCTTGAGGGAAAACAGAAAACTGGATTTAGGCAATATGCCCCATAACAGGACATAAAGAAACAGGAAAACATATAATAGAAATTATAGGTTCAAATTAATAGAAGGAACAGAAGAGAAGGTTTAGGCAATATGCTTTAAGCGTTTCACAGGTAACAGGGATATAATAAGATAAACTAAACAGGAACATAAAGGATAAAGTAAAACAGGTTAAAGTAGCAAGTGAGGTGATCAGCCTCTTTGGTTTGTAATCAGAACTGCAGTTTCAGGGACTTTGAGGATACTTGCAAATAATAAGAACGTCTGTAATATCCAGGTGGGTTGGAACCAAATCAATATGAAAACAAAGTCCAGTATAGACATAAAGTTGGTTCGTTTTGGAAATCAGATTGTAATAAATCAGGATGGCTGAAGGTAAGTAATGATTGGAGCAGGTTTTCTTTAGAGAGAGCTAGGAGCAGTAGATTTGTGAGGTTCTGAACACAACTTCTCTCAATGTAAAAGCCATGTGATGAGTTGGGTGTAGCCTTTTG